TGGCAGAGGTCACAATGGGAAGGAGAGCAGGAAGTAGTGAAGAGGTCTGGTAGAGATGAACCAATGTGGGTTGCAATACATGTGTGTGTGTGGAAGCAATGCTAGGAAACTCTGTATAGCTATCTTTATCTCAAGCTAGCAAAATGCTATGTTTTTCTTATTATCTCTTATGTTTTCTCTTCAACAAAATCAGAGAACAAGAGGGCCAATGGAAGTGGTGTGGGGGAGCAAACAATGTATACACACATATGAGTAAATGTAAATTGTCTATAGTAAAAAAAACAATGAAACAAAATGAAAGAGTCAACCAGAACAAAAATGAGGTACCAAGTCACAAAAAGGCAAGGAGGAACTTTGAACATGTGTTGCATTAGCATTAAGAATATTGAATAGCTGAGCACCGATGACTCATGCCTGTAATCCTAACTCCCTGGGAGGTTGAGGTTAGTACTGTGACTAGAGGTCAGCCTGGGCAAATAGTTTGTGAGACCCCCTATCTCCAAAATAGCCAGAGCAGAAATGGACTGGAGGTGAGGCTCAAGAGGTAGAGTGCCTTTTTTTTTTTCTTTTTTGTGGTACTGGGGGTTGAACTCAGGTCCTACACTTTGAGCTACTCCACCAACCCTTCTTTGTGTTGGGTTTTATTGAGATAGGGTTTTGCAAATTATTCGTCCAGGGCTGGCTTTGAACCATGATCCTCCTGATCTCTGCCTCCTGCGTAGCTAGGATTACAGGTGTGAGCCACCTGCACCTGGCAGAGCACCTGCTTTGCAAGTACAAAGTCCTGAGTTCAAACCCCAGTCATATATATATCTATATATCTATAACTATTATATAATATATAGATATATGAGCTGGGCATCATCTCAGCTATGCGGGAAGCATAAATAGGTTTGTTCTCCAGGTCAGCCTAGGCAGAAAGTGTTGAGGATGTGGCTCAAACACAAGAGTGCCTTCTCAGCAAGCAAAAGGCCTGAGTTCAAACCCCAGTACTGCCCCCAAGAAGTACATATATATAGGGACACAATGGAGTTTTACATCAAAGTTTTAACGTGAATTAAAGGGTTTGTTTGGTGGGCTTTCCAAAAAACAAAAACAAACAAGAGTTACTGAGCACAAACACATGAATGCTGCTCTTGGCACTGGAAAATTAGTGGCATACTAGATGAGGTTTCAAGGAGTTTAAGGGGAAAGAAGTGAATAAATAAACCAACAGATAATTTCAGGAAATTGTAAGTACTATGACACAACATGTACAAAAGTTTCTGAGGTTATTGTGTTGACAGACTGGTTCTGATTAACAAAAAAATTCCTCAGGAGAGGAATCTTTGACCTAGGTCCTTAGGAGGGTGTCACCAAGTACCATATAGAGAAAGGGCAAGGTTCACTCTGGGAGATAGATGATAGACATTAAAACTGAGGTGTGACCAACGATGGCTTCTCTGAGTAACAGAAGCTTATATGACTGGAAAATACAGGCACATGGTGGGGACATATGAGTGGGTAGTAGCTCCAGCTTGTTGACACAAACGTTTGAGTGGCGATTGGAATTTGTAATCAAAAGGGTAGCTATCGGAAGCCTCAGAATAGGAGTGAAGTTGATGTGTGAATATTCAAGGAACTGGTGGCACAAACGTGGATGGCTGTAGTGCAGAGATATGAGGAAACACAGCTATCCAGTTTGCTCGAAGCAGAAACTTGGTACTCCCTCAAGCACAAGGCTCTGTCCTTAATTCTCACACGCAGTCACCTTCAGAGCCAGTGTTGTGCTGGACCTGGCCCCATGAATGCAAACCTATTTACAAGAGCCAATTGTCAACACTTCAGGAATTTTGAAAGCTGGTTGATAAACACCACTGTTAATAAAAATTGTATTACATAAATTATAATCAAATAAGTTTAGAACAGTGAAAATACTCATTATTTCCTAATTGTCAGCATTTTATTGTTTGCTATCTAAGCTCTTTTAAAAAATGTTTTTAGTGGGATCCCTCACTGGGGGTATGACTTAATGGTTAGACCACTTGCCCAAGGGCAAGCCCTAAGTCAATCGTCAGTACCACCAAAAACCCCAAAACCTAACACTGGTGGTTTGGTTCTGTGAACTCTGTGCTGGAGTGTTGCTTCCATTTCTGCAGTGTAGAATGGCCTTGGAAGGAAAGTTAGTGAATTAATGTTCAGTTCAGACCAACTTTCAGTAGCTTGGATTATAGATGTGAGTCACTGTACCTGGCAATATTTCTTTATATAATTTTTAAGCTAAAATGCCTCCTCTATTTTCAATTTAGACAGTAACTTAAAAAGAATTGATATTTCTTGCAAAGTCTACTCTTCCTTTTAATAATTTTATTGCTAGCAATAATGTCATGAAACCTGACTGACGTAACTGCTTAATTATTTCAAACAATGACAAGAGCGAGGAAGCCTCCAGGGTGGGTTGGAGCTGCTCCCCTTACCCCTCAGATCTTAACAATACTGGCAAGAAGTGGAGAGGTTGGCGGGTGATGGTGGTGTCCAAATGCTCCAGTGCCTCATTGGCATTTTCTTCAGAAGGGTCAGCCATGCCCTCTGGAATGCTTTTTGAGGCCTCTCAGATTCAAACTCACCCTTTTGCTCACTCTGTGAAAATGAACGTGGACCTTTCATGTTTTATCATAGCCAGCTGACGGTGCACCTTTATCCAAAGATTTTCTAATGTCAATGAAACTCTTTCATTACTGAACTCAAGGTGCTGGCTTGTTTTGGCGAGGTATTCATTCATCAGTGTTTAGGATTTATCTTATTTATCTCCAGCTTACTAAGGTGTTTTAACTTTAAAGAACCGATATCTAACATTTCAATACATGTTTAGTAACCATTCTTGTTGATATAATGGCTTACCAGGATCAGCTTACAAACTGGATCACCTTGGAGGATGGCCTGGTGATGGAGTCATGGCCTCCTTGAATTCCAGAGAGAACCAGAAGTCAGTTCCCCTGGACTCCAGCTGCAAATAGCCTGCTTAAGGATGATCAGAAGGCAGAGTTTTCAGCGTAACTAAGTTTTCAAGTCAAGAATCGTCAGGAGTTGGTGGCTTGGGGCTATAATCTTAGTTACTCCAGGGGCAGAGATCAGGAGGATCCTAGTTGGAGGCTAGCCTAGGCAAATAGTTCATGAGACCCTATCTCAAAAATACCAACACAGGGCTGGTGGAGTAGCTCAAGTGGTAGTGTGCTTGTCTAGCAAGTGTGAGGTCCTGAGTTCAAATCCCAGTGCTGGGAGGTTAAAAAAAAAAGAACAAGAGCCATGGCTAGAAATTATTTCTTTATTTATTCATTTATATGCTACTGATTATGAATGACACAGTTAATTTAATAAGACATGATGCCTTTTTTTGTTGATTTTCTTTTTTGTGCAGTACTGGGATTGAATGCAGGGCCTAAGCCTGGTAGGCAAGCAGTCTACCACTTCAGGCAACGCTCTCAATCTTGAATTTATTTACAGATGTAGTAAACATTCAAGTTTACCAAGTTGATTACACTTTCTTCTATTATACCCCTGGCCCTTTTTGCTTTAGGTTGTTTTCAAACAGGGTTTCATGTTTTTGCCTCTGCTGGCCTGGGACCACGATCCTCCCACTATGTCTGCTCTATTGCTGGGAAATATAGAAATGCACCACCATGCCTAGTTTACTTGTTGAGATGGGAGTCTCATTAACGTTTTGTCCTGACTGGCTTTGAACTGTGATCTTCTCAATTTCTGCCTCCCTAGTAGCAGGGTTACAAGAGTTTGCCACAATGGCCAGTCTCTTAACCTCTTCTTATGAGGACACTAATCCTACTGTGGGGATGCATCCTCAAGTACTCATTTAAACCTAATTATGTCTGACAGGGCCTACCTCTGAATGCCACAGCATTGGGGATTAGGGATTCAATATATGATTTTGGGGGATACAAATATTCAGTTCAAGCATACACTGACAATGTATTTCAGCACACATTTCTCCAATTTCTAACTAACTGTATTTTATCAAACGTTTGATCACTGCAATCTCAGAGGTAAAACTTTTCTCAGTTTTTATTTCTCTTATTACACATTTTATTTTACTTATTTTATTTTTGCAGTACTGGGGTTTGAAATCAGGGCCTCACGCTTGTTAGGCAGGTGCTCTACCACTTGCCTCATGCTTCCAGGTCTTTCTGCTTTGGTTATCTTTGAGATAGGGTCTAACTTTATGCCTAGGTCAGTGTGCACTGCAATTCTCTGAGGTATGCTTCCCATGAATCTGCGATGGCAGGGAGGTGCCACCAGGCCCAGCTTTTATGGGTTGAGATGGGGTCTTGTGAACTTTTTGCCTGGGCTGGCATCAAACGATGATTCTCCTGATTGCTACCTCCCAAGTGGTTAGGATTACAGGCTAGAGCCACAGTGCCTGGCCTAAAATAATTGTTTTGTATGTTTAAAACCCATTTCTATTTTCCTTTATAGAAAAATCTCTATTTTCTTTACCCAATTGTCCATAGGGTAATTAGACTTTTTCTCTTTTTTCCCCTGTGATTCTTCTTCATTGAAGACATTAGTTTTTATGGCATATCACAATATTTTCTTTTGATTTTTTTAGGGTGAAATTGCCATTCCTATTGTATATCTTTATTAACCCATGATTTATTTTGTACTGTGTTTTTGACACCCAAACATGTGTGTGTGTGGGGGGGTGATAATCTTTTACTTAGCTTGTTTCTCTCTCTTTTGTCATGACTGTTTGTTTGGGCAAGCCAGGTTTTTATTTTTCTACCAGTCAACTATACCCTGGGTGGGTGATGGGGTGGGAGATGAAAGGACACTATCTGTTTATGTGCAAAATGCTCTCTCTGATGTTAGTTTGTTTCATTGTAGTTGCTCTCTAGTGCACTTAAAATATGATTTGATATCATATCCAGCTTTTTCTTATGTTGCAGCAGGAGCCAATTTCTCCATTTTCACCAGAGGCAGAACCAATTCCATCAAGTTTCAAGCTAAGAAAATTGAACTTTAGAGAGTTCACCTTGCCACGGCTTGCCTAGAAGTGCTTTCCTAGATGGTGACTGAGTGGATATAACCAAGTGAGCATAATGCTGATGGAATACTCCCGGAATCTAGGAAGAGACTCAGAAACTGGAGGGGTCCTGAAGCTATAGCTGTGTTAGCTTCAAGAATTTTAAAGTGGGCTGGGATATAGTTTGGTGGTAGAGCACTTGCCTAGCATGCGTGAGGTCCTGGATTTGATCTGTACACCAAAAAAGAAAAGACAAAAAAAAAAAAAGAATTTAAAAGAAGGAAAGAAAAGAAAAACATATTTTCCTGATAATTTTCTGAGGCTTCACTATGACTGACAAATGCAAATTGTGTCTATTTAAGATATATGACATAATGTATTGACATATATGTGTGTGTGTGTAATGTATATTTTGTAAAGTGATCACCACCATAATCAAGCTAACACATCTTTCACCTCACCTAGCTACCATGCATATGTGTGTGCAGAATGCTGGAGAGCTACTCTCAGCAAATTTCATATATAAATACATTATGATTGACTAGAGTCCTTATGCTGCACACTGATTATATAGAACTTATAGCTGAAAGTTTGTACACTTCTTTGCCAATCCTTATTACCAAATGTTTTTTATTTCATATACCAAAATAGCCTTAAAACCAAATCCCAAACTATAGTTAAAAGCCATAATTTTAATAGATTAATTGAAGTAAAGGTCACTTAAATAAAATTCTTCTCTCAACTTTGGGGCATCTCCAATCCTACTACATGCTTTTCAGAGATCTCAAGTAACTTCCATGCATCCTGTCCAGGTTGTATAGCAGCATTCATATTTTATGAAATTTCTTCATTAAATTTGTGTTTGGGATTGCCCTCTTCAACTTTTTCTCTGCTAATAACTTTTTTGGATCAGTATACTAATACCATATTAGAGGCATCTTGGAAAATAGATTTTAAGTGTTTTTTTTTTTAATACTATCAATAGGCCCTTGTAATTGATTTGGAGTGTGGGGCATCACTGGTAAGAGGAATTGCACATGAAAAGGCCTCACGACAGGAATGAGCTTCTAGAAGAAGGCAGAACTGATTCAAATTTAGTGAGTAAAAGGGGAGAGAATGAGGCTGGCATGGCCAAAGTTATGTACAGTCTAGAACCCACTGTACTCAGTTCACTGGGTAGAAGGAAGGCTTTCAGAGACTTAAAATAGTAACTAATATGATCTTATTTACATTTCAAACATTCTGCCTGCTATGTGGAGATGGAAAGAGAGAGAGAGAGAGAAAATACAGTGGTATCAGGTAAATAAGAATTTTATATATTATGATTATAAATGGTTTTGATAGGAATGGAGGAAATAAATAATGATGGTAAACAAGAAAGGGCTGCAGGGAGATCTGAAAGAATATGTTGTCAAATAAATGTTGAGTAGGGAGGGAAAGTAGAGAATCAAGACTGACTGTTTTTGGCAAGATTAACAGGGAGATGATGATGTCATTAACCAACTTGGGTGAGCCTATAGCAGCAGTGTGTTTGGAAGGGGATTCAGGAGCTTTTCTTGTGGCAGTGTTAAGAAGGAGATACCTCCCAGATCTCTAAGAAAAGATGAAGACAGAGAGGAAGTTGGGAGCTCAGAGCAAAGGTCAGAATGGGTCCACTCTCAGAGGAAGGACCTCTTTGGAAAGGGAATGACCAGGTTACCTTGGGAGTGAGCTAGAAAGAGAGGTTCAAGTTCAGAGCTCTAATATTAGAAACCAGAGAAAAGATGAGGAGTCAGCAAAAAGTATTTAGAAAGGGAGCCTCACTCACATGGCATGAGAAAAAACAGGCCTGATGGTGTGGGCAGTCAGGAATCAAGAAGGAGCAGGTGATGAAAGCTGTCAGACACTGACAGAAAAGGCTTGGAAGTGACCACTGGATCTGCCAGCAGAGGCCAGTGATGGTTTTTCCAAAGGCTGTCTCTTCACAAGTGGGTTCATGAAAATATTGGAAATGAGGAAACAGAATGGAAGGATATATGAGTCTTCTGAGATTCATGGGTGCTAATTTTCACAAAAAACTCAGTGGCCTTTGTGCAAATAGTTATAATAACCAGGAAACCACAGAAATCACTCCAGTCAGCCAAAATGTGTTAAGTCCCTTCTCTGTAAACCTCAGGTGTATTAAATGGTAGTATGGTAGAAAAGGAACTCAAAATAGGCAAGCTATGATCTCATTCTCATAAAAGTTATAATAACTCTGAGAGACCCCAGAAGGTAACAGTGGTATAAATAAGGCATGGCGTCAGGATCCTTTTAAGAGGCACTGATTCCGATTGGAGGATCAAGGAAAATAAACTTGAATTATGAGGAAGATTCAATGAACTTGACCTACTTATCAATGAAACAATAAATGTAAAGTTAAAAATTAATCCATTGAGCCAATAAAATCCTCTCAGGTGGCAACAAAAGGGCTAAAGGTTTTGAGTAATCATTTACATCCAAGGGACTGGACAATTGCAAAAAGCTGAGAGAAATTTATTTGGAAACAATAAGGATCCTGCACTCTACCTCCCTCAGGTTAGCTTTCAAACTTTAACTCTTTAATATTCTGCTTTTGAGAGTGGGAAGCGGTTTTCTTTTCCCCTTTGACAGCAACTTAATTTGTGGTTTTAGGATAGAGATTGTAAATAGTGAGGAAGAAAACATCTTTCTCAGGAGTCTGAAGAGTGAAAGGGGGTGTTGCCTTTCCTGAAAGAAACAAGGGAGAAAGTTATCTGAAGAAACCAAATGTGATCCAGCAATTTAAAACTATATGTTTAAGGGTTATATTAGAACTAGATGATGCAGCATAAAATGATGTATTGAGCTTGGTTTTTGCAGGTACATTAATATTTAAAAAGCACTGATCAAGGATGAGACAATTAGTGCAAATGCTGAATTCTCACAGGGGAAGTTTTTTTTCCTCTCTTTTTATTAGCATATGCTAATTGTACAAAGGGAGTTCATTGTGATATTTCCGTGCATGCATATAATGTCCTTTGATCAAGTTCACCCCCTCTATTACTCTTTCTTATACTTCTTCTCTTCTTTCTTGAACAAATTTTAAATGGATTTCATTATTCTATTTTCATACATGTGTGTGAAGTGCTTCAATCATGTTCACAGCCCCCTTGACCATCTCCTTCCTCCCTCTCCGCTCCTGTTGGTTCCCACCCCCAAACAGTCCCCCTGTTTTTCACTCTTTCTTTTTTTTTTTAAGGTCTAAATTCTGCATATGAGAGAGAACATGTGATATCTGTCTTTCTCAGTTCTCAGGGAAGATTTTTTTAAATCAGGTCTAAAAGATCAAGTTAATTAAAACCGACCAAACCTTTGCAGTAAATCTATGTATGGGGAACAGCAAAACAAATGAAATCCCACATGGCTTTAGGGAACAGTTGACAGTGAATAGTTAGGGGTAGATGACTTTTATTTGGGGACCATGAATAAGAGCCACGAACTGTTTCTCACAGTGCTGAGATTAGAGCTATCAGGTCAGTGCTGAGACCAGAGATGTCAATATCTCCACAAGTTGCCTTAAGGAAATACTGAATTAGTAAATAATTGAGGGGCAGGATATGTGTTAATCCACAGGGAACACATAGAAACAATATTGGCAAGAAAAACTGGTAAGATTGACACAGTTTCTTTGCTGGCTCTTCCTCATCTACCTGGTCTTAAAATCAAAAGATAAAACTGTTGATTTTCAAATTTGTAGTTCTACCTAAGTTTTTGTCCCAAGCTATGGACTCTCACAAAGGCTATTTGGCAATCTTCCCTTCCCTTCTGGTCTAACAGCCATCTCAAACCTCCCATGCTCAAAAGGAACTCTTGCTTTTCTTCAGGAAACCTGCTTCCCTCCCTGCTCACTTGCCCATCATCTTGAGTAAACCATTCACTTCTTTGCTTAAGTCATAAATCTAGATGTCTCTGACAATTCTCCTATTTCTCTTTTCTCTATATCTACATTCCTAGTGAATCTTCCTGGCTTGTGTCCAAAATAGGTCCCTGATGTGGTGTTTTTCACCACAGCCAGCCCAGCCCAGATACCATCAACTCTTGCCCAGCTGTTTCTTCCCAAGACTCTTGGTTCTTCTTTTTTTAAAAATGTTTTTATTTTCTAATAAAAAGTTATACAGAGGGTATAGCTATACAGGGGGTTTTGTTGCGACGTTTCCATATATACATATATTGTACCCCAGTTTGACTCATCAGCTCCATTATTCTCCCTCTTTTCCCACTTCCTTCAGTAGGTTTCAATGTCATATACATAAATGCACAGAAAGTACCTCAACCATATTCACTTACTTTCTTAATTTACCACCCCCATGACCTTCCAATCAACATGATCTGTTTTACATTCTTATCTTTTATTGTGTAAGTGTCTGTTCATTGTTCAGTGGGTGTTGACCTTGGTATTTACCTGTAAATATATTGTACTTTAACCAGTCTAACCCCCTCTACCACTCTTCCTTACCCATTTTCTTCTACTGTGTATTGTTTAACAGTTTTTCAGAGTGTTTCATTGTGTCAAGGCTCTTGGTTCTTCATCTTGTCCCTTATAGATCATACAGCACACATCAGCTAAAATAAATTCAAAGTAAATTGGCCTATAGGACACTACATGGTGTGGCCCCTGCCCAGTTCATTGATCTCATCTCATTTCCTACTTTAACCTCTTCATTCATTTTAGTGAGTTAGGTTGGACTTCACATGGCTGCACAGACGGCCTTCTGTCCTGACAAACTTGCTAAACTTACTGATTCCTTTGTCTGACGTGCTCTTGTGGTATGTCTCTTCTTCTGTCCCACCATTACCATTTCAGCTCAAATTAACCACTGTGTACAACCAAACTAGGTAAAGTATTTAGACTTGGCAGAGTGGGTGTCCTCCTCTCACAGTGATAGGTTGCTAGTCACAGTCACTACTATTGTTTTGTTTTCTTCATAGCAAATGCCATTCTTTCTTATTTCTTTTCATACTATGGCCCTCCTGGGATGTAACTGTCATGTACATCCCTTGTCCTGCAACAGCTTTGTTTTACCTTCATCTTTTACCGCCAGATTCTACTGTGCTCATGAGTTCTAGCAAACCCATTATTGCTAGTTACCAGGAAAGCTGGCAAAGTGCTTCTGTTACAGTAGGTATAGGGAGGGGGCCATCCAGTGAGAACCAAGTCCTTCAGTCATACAAGAGAAAGAACTCTGGGAAAAGAACATTCCATTAATTTATTACACAAATGTTTACTGAATCAATGAATGAACAAGCAGTCAGTGAACTCTTAGGCATTGGTTCACTAGACAAGTCTTATAGTCTAGGCCCATACCACCCTGAACATGCCCAATCTCATCTGGTCCCAAAAGCTAAGCAGGGTTGGGCCTGGTCAGTACTTGCATGGGAGACAAGTCTTTATGGGTATAGGGAAAAATAATAGCCTGAAAGCTGTGTCTTCAACTCTTGTGACTGATAGAATCTTTTCTGTTCGACTAATTGCCCTAAGGTGTGGACAGGAATATAAGGGCATTATTTTTATTTTTATAGAAGAGTGGTTCAATCCCTGAACCACACTATTTTGTCAATGAGTATTGGCCTGGATTCCAACTCAATTTTAGTTTGTTTCTGAACTCTGATGTAGACTGGGGAGCTCCATGATTGAACACCTGTGCTTTCTGATTATGTAAACCTGGCAATTTATTGACAGTTGCTCATTTACCAACTTTAGTGTGATAGTATAGACATCAAGTAATGTTTCCAATTATGAACACAATATCACCAAAAAATCAGATCTATATCTTTCTTTATATTTATATTACTTTATGTATCTTATTTTATATTAATAGGTGTTATACTCCATAGACAGCAAGTGGAAAATGATTTTGTTTCAACAGCAACTCCTGCCCTACTTTCCATCATGTCTTCTTAATCCCATAACTTCTGGGAGCATTCTCAGTTAGTTAAATGTCTACCACTCATTTTCAATCTCCAAATAATCTCATCTTGTAATTAATAGGTCCAATGAAAAACACAAGATTCTCATCTTGTAATTAATAGGTCCAACGAAAAACACAAGATTCTAAACTTTATCTAAAAGTACAGCTTCTCCCTCTCCCAGGTTGCGTCTGGAAAGGAAGGGGGTCTTTTGGTTTACTTCTTGTTCCCTTTGTCATTTTCTCCCTTCTCCCCTCATGCTAACAGGTTTCTAATCTTTGCAGTTCTGTTGGTTAGGGATACAGGATACTAAAGAGGCAGGAAGTGTCTTTTTTGGCTGATAGCCTTATGACCTGATATTGGTGCTTTGTAAGCTAGGTGGACATTCAATCCTGAATCCTTTGAAGAGTACCCTTTTGGGGACATGAGGTGATTCATGTCCATTAGTTTGATTCTTTCTTCAGCTGTTGGGCATCCTAAAGTCCATTTCTTCTTTTGTGGTCACATGGCAACTTTTACACAGAACTCTTGAGCAGATTTTAGAAAGCTGTGAACTGGACCTTTTCTGAGTTGTCCATGTCTAGTTCACAAGGAACACGCAGGCAGGTCTCTGCACAAGTACTTTTGTACATGCTACTATAAGAGGTGCCACAACCTCTCAGAATGGAGTGGGCCCTTTCTCTGCTCTGCAGCTCCAACCAATAGTCACTGACTCTTTGATCCTGAGGCAAGTGTACTTACCAGTCCCTTTCATAAATACATAAACCCTGGGACATACATTACGCCCTATGAATGACCCCTTACTGGCACCCTCTAACATTTGCTATGAAGGAAGGGGCAGTGACCCTCCTTTCATCTTTCATGGAGTTTAGGTGAATAAGTAACAGATAATACCAGCAATTTTCTCCAAAGAAATTCTGTTGCTGCTTCTTCATCTCTGTTTGTGCCTTGAGGTGGGCTCAGTAGCTCCTCCTTCTTAAGTCCTTCAAACTACCCTCTCCCATATTCTGGTATGGGAGTAGCACTACTGTTTTCTTTTCAGAATAGTGTGTATTTAGTCAAATTGACATCAAGTTCCATTTTAACATCCAGTTAGACACACATACACACACATACACACACGAGCACTCATAAAGATAGTGAAAATCAAAGATTTCTGGGTTGTGATCAGAGATTATTATGACAGATTTTGGTTGCTGTTGTTTTCAGTTTGTTTTAATCACAGCAATAATTTACAAATGCATTATTGTAACACATTTAGACACCAAAGATAAAGATAAATTCTAATGTGGTCATTTCTTTTCTCCTCATTCCCTTTTACAGAGATTACAAGTTTTATCAGATTAATAGAACTTAATTTACTTTTCATAATTTTCAGCTTACTTCTAAATGTATGTATATACATATAAAATACACAATGTAATATCCTCATGCATCTTTATTTCATGTAATTAATTTGTAATTATTGTTCTACAACTTGCTTTTTCATCTAACATATATTTTAAATCTTTATGTGCTTTGACATATAGATCAAATCAATTCTTTGATGGATGCATACTATTCCAGAAAACATATACACTTTGCACAAATGTTATCAATGATTACTTATTTACTGATTTTTAACAAGGAGTGTTCTAGAACATATTCTCCTATGTGGCCATGCACATTCGTCTCTGGTACACACAATGAAGCAGCATTACCAACAAATACCAGCAATCCACAAATGGTGGCTTTTTTCCCTACACTTTTGCCTAAATGTTGTGATAATCTTTTTACAAAATTTGTGAAAGTTGATAGATGAGAAATAATGAGATCTTGTTTTTTTAAATATCCATGTCCTTGATAGTGAGACAGAGTGTTTTCCCAAGTTTATTCTTCATCCATATTTATATATTGTTCTGATAATTGCCTACTTTTTATTCATTTTCCTAGTTTGTCTTTTTAAATTATCTTGAAGTTTAAAAATGCTGTTTTTAAGTTTTATATACTGTAGTTAATTTTTCTCCATCTATCAAGTTACTTTTATGTTATCTATTTTTTAAAAATTTTGTGCTTTTTGCATCCCACAGAATCCTCATGATATGTCTATATGTGGGTTTAATTTCATTTCTCTGACTTGAGACCCACTGTATTTCCTAAATCTAAGAAATCTTGTGCATCACTTATTATAGAAAATTTCTTCTTCCTTCCTTTTTTCCTTCCTCCCTCTATTCCCTCCCTCCCTCTCTCTCTCTCTCTCTCTCCCTCTCTCTCTCTCTCTCTTTCTTCTCTTCCCCCTTCCTCTCCTCCTCCTCTTTCTTTTTCTTGTTAATATTTGTTTTTTGAGACAAGGTCTTGCTGTAGTCCAGACTGGCTGGGAACTTGCAATCCTCTTGCCTCTCTTCCTGAGCTGGGATTACAGTCATTACATTTTAAATTATTGTGTCTTTTCAATTCTCTTGATTTTTTTCCTAAAAGTCCTATTCAACATATGTTGTATCTTTTTGCTCTATTTTCCAGGTTTGTAATTATGCAGTCATCCCTAATTATCTCAATTTGGTATGATTTTACTTATCCCTACCTTATATTTCATCAGTTCTTTCATTAACTATGTCTAGTCACTGCTTCAAATTTCAATGCCTAAATTTTTCTCATGCATTTTGAGTAGTTTCTCTCTTTACTCTTATGTTCCTTAATCTTTTCTTCTTGTGTTATAGAGTCCATATTTTATTTCTTCAATTATTTTAAGCATGCATATGTAATATCCTTATCAGTGTACTCTATTTTAAGAAGTTTCCAGTGATCTAATTTTCTGTATGTTGTCTGAGGACTTGATCTAGATGGGTTTATTTGTGAGTGTTTATAATTTTTTATCTTGAGCTTATATTAAGTGTAGCTTCATCTATAATAATTTATGTGACCCATGTTGAGCAAATTAACCTGACTTGATTCCTCAGTCTGTTTTTCAGCCAGGGATGAGTTCTCAGAAAATGAAGACTGTGTGAATTACAAGCCTCAACTCTCCATAACATAGTTCTGAATTTTCAGGGGAAAATGAGCCAGATCTCTGAACAATGCACACAGTGCCACTGTCTCACATCGCAATAGGCAGAGACTCTTCAACTAACTATTAGGATCTCCTTCCTGACACAGGCCTGGCTTCATCCTTCATCCTCACAGGGCCATAGATCTCAAGCTCCTGCCTCACTGAAATTGATGCTTCCTGTAGTCCCCAATCCCGTGGTTACTGAAGAGTTCATGCATGCCTTTAACTTTTCATTACATTCATGTGGCTATCGCTTTCTATCTTTGGAGTGGTGTGCCTCATAGGATGTTTACTATATTTTACTCCATTTATTTCAAATAAGGTGGTCAATTTTCCATGTCCAGTTGATAGAAATATCAGTTTAAGGATATGGGAACACACAACTACAAAGAATATTACAATTTGTCAGAGCAGTCCAGGCTGGATTCCTCATTTCAGAGAGGCAGATACCAAGACTCAGGGTAACTGTGACCCTTCCAAGGCCACACAATTTTAGTGGTAGAGCTAAGGACAGGGATGAAGTCATATAAGATATAGGACACTTTCCTCTCTGTATTTACTTTTGCACTCTTTTATTTCTGTAGGTAAATGCCAGTCCCTGGCAAGAGAGAATCAAAATGTCTACTGGAGCAGACATCAAGGCTATAGAGGGAGACATTTCCAATGATGGTAATTTAAACATGGCTCAAGAGCAACCCTGCAAGAAAGGTAAAATTATGCACTGAAATCTGGCTGTGGATAAACTGAACTCTACCACCTCGACTTCCTTTTTGTTGATACATAGCACTCTTGCTACTGTCAAGAATTCTTTGTAGATATAAAGGATATTTATGTCTAATTATGTGTTTCTCACAAGAAAACTTGAAAGCATATAGTATAGGTAAGTATTATGACATTATTTGGAGATAAAAAATCATAGTATATTCTAATAGGTATATTCTGATGGTACAGGGCAGGGCATCCCATTAAATCTCTGCTCATACTAAGAATAGGCTTTCTTTTCTGCCATGTCATAGAAATTGCCTTACCTTTTCCCTCTTATCTGTAATACAACTTAGTGTTTTTCTATAATATGCTTCAAGGATGTCTATGGAACACAGTCCCTAACTCCATATTTTACCCTAAACCCATAATGATTTATAACCATCATTCATTAATTCTCCTAAGGATATAGGTGTCCCATAAAATAAGACCTTTAAAAAATAAAACACTAGTCGGGTGCCGGTGGCTCACGCCTGTAATTCTAGCTACTCAGGAAGCTGAGATCAGGAGGATTGCAGTTTGAAGCCAGTCTGGGCAAATAGTTCAAGAGACCCTATCTCAAAAAACCCTATAACAAAAAATTGGGCTGTTGGAGTGGTTCAAGGTGAAGGCCCTGATATCAAGCCCCAGTACAGAAAAAAAAAAAAGTAAATAAATTAAAAAAAAACCCAAAACACTAAGATGGAACAGTTTGCAATACTCAGTATTTTAGCCAGGTTATCTTTTTGGGATGTATGCATATATTCAAGAAAAGAGAGGTCTCCTAATCTAAATCACCAAAAAAATGCATAATACTCATTCTACAATTAAGCATCAATTATTCAAAACTGAGTACTATTCCAATGATATCAGCTTAAGGTCTCATTCATTTCTAAATATTTTAGAATCTCTTGAACTATACCATTGTCCAAATTCTTCTATCCTAACAAACACAGTCTCTCTCTCTCTCTCTCTCTCTCTCTCTCTCTGAAATAGGAAGAACTTAAGTACAGTCCAAGTGTGGAAGTATATGCCTATAATCTCAGTGCCTGGAGGACTCAAGAGGATCATGAGTTTGGGGCCAGCCTGAGATACATAGCAAGATGTCTAGAAAAAGAAAAGAGAGAAAGAGAGAGAGAGAGGAAGAAAGGAAGGAAGGAAGGAAGGAAGAAAAAAAAGAGAAAATTTTACCAAGACATAGTAAGGCACAAAGGATAAGAACACAGGTCAGAAGCCAGACTGCCTCAGTTTGCAATCCTGATTCTGCCATTTCTGAACTGTGTGACCTTAGGCTATTTTACCTGAACTCCCTGTATCTCAGTTCTCTAATCTGTAAAAATGGGGTGATGATGATAGTGGCTAATTTATACCATTACAATGAAGATTAAATTAAACGATTTGTGGAATAGCACCTCAGACAGAGTAAACACTAAATGAGCTTTAGCTACTACTCTTTTAGTAGGCAGTGGAATGCTCACTTATAATTTATCTAATGGGGAATTCATATGTGGTCTTCCTGGTTTCTTCCACAGTCTTCTGGAACATCTTCCCACCCTGCTGCTCAGTTCTCTGGTGACCGCCCTGGAGCCACAGCTGTATCAGACAATACCTTTGTGATTTCCTTAACCCTGCCTGGTGATACAAATGACACCATCCTAATAATAGTCATCATTTTTTTTGCAGTCTCATCTTATCATCTGATAAGGCAGAACCCCAGCTAACCCTCAAAGTCTCATCAAATTTTTGTGTTGTATCTCCTAATATTACTCATAAGTACTTAGAACTAAACCCTAGTGACTTCTTAATCATTTGGTGTCCAGCTTCAATTTTCCTTTTGTCTCTCTCAGTCTTGCCCATGCTCACTGGGTATTGCTGGGTGTTCTGCATCAGACCCTGCTGGGGCTTCTCTGGGTACAAGTGGGCCCAAAGGCTATTGATGTATATGGTAGGCACTACTGTGCTTCCAAGACACTCAGAACATCAAATCCAGGAACCTTATAGGCTGTGGAGAAATGTACCTTTTCCCAATATGTGTCACCTCTGCTCAGTTGGTCATATCATTATGCAGGTACTTACACTCTCATATCCCCAGAGGTTCTGAATGAAAAGAAGTGGGCCCTCAGTGGTCTTTCGGTATCTGGTTCAATTAAGAATTCATGGGGCTGAGATGGATACAGATAGCACATTGATCTTCTGATTCCCTTTTCTCTCAGAAGCCATGAACTGCTATAGAAGTTTGGGTTCAATCAGAAAAACAGAAGCCAGTCTTCATATTTCAAGAAGAAAGAGGTTTAACATAGAGCTTGTGGAAAATTCCACAGACTTTTCCTTTTGGAAGGAAAATCAAAAGTGCAGGATGAGGCAGTACTAATGATCCAGCTTTGTGTACCATTAAGTAGGCAATTTCCCAGATATCCTAAAATCACAAGCAAAAATCTCATAGGTATGGCAGGATCCTCACCTGCCTATAGCTGTCTCTGGAACATTATGGCTTCTCATTGTGTTCACCTTCTATATGTGCCTGATTGCCCTCATCAGTAGAATAGGAATAGGATTCTACTTGTGTGGTAGTCTGAGGATTGATGTTTCTAGGTCTTTGTCCTTCTGTTACTGTGGAGAATGTAGAAGACAGAGATGGCACTGAGAATCCACAAATAATTTCAAGGACATCTTTCTGCTTCTCAGAAACACCACATGGAAGTAAGATACACTCTACTTATGGGGAAGAATGCCTCCTAAAGTCAATTTACCATAATTTTTTTTTCTGAAAGCTACAGAAAGAAATAAAACAGGTACTACAATTCATGTTGAAACTAGGGAATTATCCCTACCATGTGCTACAAATTCCAAGGTTTGACAACAGGTTTAATACAATGTGAAATTGAGAGGATACCAAGAGGTAACAAACTCCCACCCTTGAAGCATGGTATGGTGTTATAGGAAGAAAAAGAGACCATTGTGGAACTTCAGCTTATGCTTCTAGCATGGAGTAGCAGTATCTAGAAGTTGGGCAGACCATAGGCAAGGAGAGGCCCTCTAGGGCTTCCAGTACTTGGACTGGAGGAGTGGCTCAAGTGGTAGAGTGCCTGATTATCAAGCATGAATCCCTGAGTTCAAACTCCAGTATCACCAAAAAAAAAAAAAAAAAAAGAAAACATAAGGTATGGTCTGTACTGAGATATGGTAGGTAAAGCTTACCTGACTCACATACTTGAGTTTTTCCACACACAGGCCAGTGGTCTTTCTAAAACTCTGCAATTTAGCAATATGGAGCCATATGAAAGAGTAGAGGAACAAGAGTAATCGTAGAAATTACCTTGGAAATGTGGATGGCTTTTCCCCAAACTCTAATGTCATTGCATATTTAAAATTGAGGAGTGGTTAACTTCCCTTGAATGGGCAAAATAATTCCATGATGACCTTCTGCCCTCACACACTATCCCCACCTGCATGACCTCAACTAATAAAGGTAGCCCTTTGCTGGGGTTTCAACACATGAGAACAAAGTCATTGACCTTTATAGTACAAGGCTGTAGAGGGACCACAAGGGACATACATGTAAATGTTAACACAAATGAAAAAAAAAAAAAAGGAAAAGAATGTGGTAGATAAAAGAGATTAACAAGCACATTTGTGAAAAATATTAACACATTTTAATAGTTATTGTATAATGAGTGCATGCTCTATGTCAGGCATTGTTCCAAGCACTGTGTTTGTATTAATTTGAATCCTCACAATAATCTTTCAAGGAAGGTTCCTCTAGCATCATTCCCATTTCACATGAGCCAGAACTCAGGCACAGCAGGATTAGGTAAGTCATCTAATCATTCAGACCCAAAGAGGCATTCTTGGATTCCAGCCATAGTTGCCAGGTTGTTAGCCATCACAATAAACTGTATGCTTATTTGACTGGGGGAAAATTGGAGAATTTTTTATCTCCAATTTCTTCAAGTTCTCAATGATAGTAATAAATAACAATAAAGTAGCTTATTATGGTATATGAAATAAACCAGCTGAAACATATAAAAGAAGATCCTAATAAGAGAAGAAAGGAAACTAAAAAGCAAAAAAATATCACTGAAGAATTAAAATGGAATTGTTAGTCTCAAGGAGAGACATTATCACTACAGAAAATAAAATCATAGACATGGAACCATAGCTTGGAGAAGTCATGGAAAATGCAGAGGGGAAACAAGGCAGTGAATGAAAAGGTGATGGATGTACTGCAGGGAAGAAAATGGATTATTCAGGAAATGATATATGGTTATGTAAGCATCCAATTCACTGAGTCTAAAATTTTAAGGAAAGTATGGAAATAGGCAACTTAAATGTAGGAAATAAGGTGGACTAAAACCATGAAGTAAATTGAGATGAAAACCACTTACAAGAGCTGGTTCCTTGATAAAGAAGATGTCATTCACAGCACAGATGCATTCAACAAGCAATCTACTATTCAGATTAATCAGGCAGAGAATAGACACAACCAAGAATCATGAAAACTAGGAGACAGAGGCAATGAAAAATGTATAATAGACTATGAGGGAACAGATAAAGTAAATGACTTTCTAGAAATTATAATTTAAATTTTTATAATTTATTTTAATGACATGTATAAAATATATATTTAATAACAAATATATTATAATTTTCTAAGAATTATAAATAATGAACTTATAGTTCAATTTTATCCAAAAATGCAAAGACAGCCAATGAATTTATAGGAACTTATTCAATTCGCATCACAGTACCTTGATGTAGGTTCTGTTATTAACACTGTCTTACAGGTAAAATGCAGAGGCTGCAGAGAGCTCAGTCACTTGCCCAAGAACACAGTTGTCAATAGAACATCTGAGAGTGAGGTCTAGGCAACTGATTCCATGATTAAAAGACATTTGATAAAACCCATGCATCCTCCCCCAAATATTTAAAAATAGGAAAAGGACAATGTAATTTAAGTACATGTGACACCTCAACCAGCAGCATACTTAATGGTGTCATGTAGAAAGCATTCCCAGGAAATTTATATCTGGCAGGATTGCCTACTCTCACCATTCCTGTTAAACATTGTTTAGAAAATGTTGGTGAATAAAATTAAAGTATGAAATACATGTTGCAAACAGCAAAAATAATTGTCTTTCCATTATTTAGACATAATACCTTTTTTTAAAAAGTCAAAACCCCAGCGGGGATACTACTGATGGAAATGATAGGAAAAAGTACTCAGCTATGAAAACAATACAAAGAACTTGGTAAAACTTGTGTGACATTTAACTGACAACTACAAACTTTCACCTTAAGACAGAGAAAAAAAAAAACTTCACTGTATAGTAGATATTCTTCTTGACTAGGAGAAGGCTATACTATAAATGTGGCCATGGTTCATTTAATCTGATATGTCAATATGACATTGAACCAAAATTCCAATGTAAATTTTTGTGGATAAAGGTGAGAGAACTCCCACAGTTAAATAATCACAGGGTTAGACCAAAGGTGAGGGTCTGTCAATTCCTGAAACCTAGCAAGAACATTACTACACAAAAGGCCACAGTGCTGGCCACTCCAAGACGATCTGCTTCCTTAGAGAAGCCTGGAGAAAAGGCATTCATATAACTTGAAGACAGCAATCACAAATTATCTCTTGGTTTTCTCTACAGCGATAGTCTCTCGACCCTTCAAGCTGTTGTTGAACTAATGTGACTTGGATTCAGTCAAGTGATAGCCCTGGGCCTTCTATGGAACACTGACAAATTTTGTGCAGCTTAGATTACAGGAGTAAGGCAAAGTTGAGTCTATCTGTCTATCTATCTATCTATCTATCTATCTATCTATCTATCTATCTATCTATCTATCTATCTCCATAATCTAATCTTAGCTTACCTTTCAAGTTTCTTTTGCTCCTGGGCCCCAAACAAGTTAAACATCCAAATCTCTGGTAATTAAGGACACCTAGAGCTATCTCAGCTATGCAAGCAAAGCACCTGGGAGTCATTTCCAATAATATTCTCTTGTCTCCATATCTAATCATCACTACTTCCATCCAGTTGTTTCTCTAAATCTATTTTTTTCCATTCCCACTCTCACTCTGCTCATCCCAAGACCCTGGAAAGTTCTTCCCTTATGTTTGCTCTCACCAACCCTAAACATTCTTCAAGTCTCTACTTGAGTAATGCTTCCAAGGGAGCTATTTTTCCCATTACCTTCCAGAAGGCCAGGCAGCCAGCCACAAAACAGTGTGTGCCCTCTACATTTCTACAACACAGATGGACATCAGTATTCTCCATCTTCCAGACCTAGGAAGAATGGGAATAAAGCTTCCTGATTATGAGGTTTTATGTGTTCTTTTTTAGGCTTTTGTTCAGTCCGACATGGACTTGCCTTCGTCTTGCAGCTCTGTAATTTTTTGATTTATACACAACAAATGAACTTGAGCATTGCCATTCCAGCTATGGTGAACACCACCACCACATCCAGCCTGCCCAATGCCTCCACAGAGATACCTTCCGCAGACCCCCATGACTACTGGAATGAAACACTAAAGGAATTTGAGGCACTAGTAAGTTGAATAAGACTCTGGACTCTTTGATTCAAACAGTCTAACTTAAAGGGTTATTTTGTAAAAGAATTCCATTCACTTATCTAGTAAATACTACTGAGTATACACTATATGCCAGGAGCAGCACAAGGAAACTTTATCTCTACTTAACATCTGTGAGTGTAACCAGGGACTAAGTTAGAATGAAGGAAACACCTTGTACCATTAAGGGGAAATGATTTCTTCACCCTATGATGAAAATTGCCATAAAATAAGTTTTACAGATTATGACCTTCAGATCATCCAAGGCTAGCCCAGGTACTAAGATATTTTCCCACTATAAGAGGAATATAGGTTTCAGAATGATCTCATATTTTAATTGGTCAGTTAATTATCAGGGCTAAAGGTGTGTGTTGAGCATATACTTAGGTTGATAGATTGGAGGACTTGGAGAGAGAAAGAAAAATAACTGCTGATTACTTCTTTATCACTCAAATCCTCACAATAAAAAGTTCACTCTCTAATCAAAGACAGTGATGTTCTCTTTATCGTCTAGGCCCCTGCATATGACTGGAGCCCTGAGATCCAGGGGATCATCCTCAGCTCCCTCAACTATGGATCATTCTTGGCTCCAATCCCCACTGGCTATGTGGCTGGAATATTTGGAGCCAAGTATGTGGTTGGTGTTGGCTTGTTAATTTCCTCAGTCCTGACCCTCTTCATTCCACTAGCGGCTGATGCTGGAGTGGCTTTGCTCATTGTCCTTCGGGTCATCCAAGGCATAGCCCAGGTACTAAGATGTTTTCCAACTATAAGTGGAATACAGGTTTCAGAATGATCTCATATATGTAAGATTAGTTATTTTCTCCCCAGGTTATGGTATTAACAGGTCAGTATTCAATTTGGGTCAAATGGGCTCCCCCAGTGGAAAGGAGTCAACTCACTACCATTGCTGGATCAGGTAATTGACATCCTAATTTCACCTTATATGCACTGTCCAAAAGTACTCAGCCTTGGTCTATCAAGAGAACTAAGACCTTACATCCCAATTGCCCTGCTTAAGTCCTCGATCTAGAGTACTAACCTATTCTATTTTTCTTGATCAGAACTGACTGTTAACTATATACCAAACATTTTTGCATTTTGGACATATTAATTTCTTTTTAGCCCATAATAACCTTATAAATCACAGCCTATGAATTTGAGATACAAATAAATAATTGTCTAAGAACACAGAGCTACTCAGTGAGGAAGCAGCATTTGCACCTAAATAGTCGGGTTGAAGCTCATACTTTCAATTATTGTGCAACTCGGCTTTATATAAAGCACACAGAATCTCAAGACCACTCCTCTCACCCAGAACTTGCTTGCATCTTTTGTTCAGGGTCAATGCTGGGGACCTTCATTGTCCTCCTTGTTGGTGGTCTAATCTGCCAGGACATAGGATGGCCTTATATCTTCTATATCTTTGGTGAGTTTGTGTTTTTCAGATCTTAGAATTCTATTTTATGACAAAGAATACTGGGCATAGTTTCTGTGATACAACTTATCTATGGTTAACCAAATCCTAATAGATATGGATGTATACATAACCAAATTTGATAATGTTCAAAGCCAATCATGTTGTGAGTCTTGCTAGCTTATAAAATAGCATTACTAAGCCTGGATGTATAGCTAGAATAACCTTATGACTTTAAGGGCATCACGTCATTCCTTCTTGCTTCTAAATTGAACCCAAAGGATCCCAGAGTGATATCTTTCATATGATGTTGAAAACGTTATCTTGTGAAGGCCACATTTTTAGTCATGCTTGTTTATATAACACATTACGTGACTAAATCTTAGGTAAAGTACCATTTGGACAGGAGAATCAACAAGTAGCACCTGCAGCATAGGGCAAATCATAAGAGACTCTGAGAGGATACAACACAGAAAGAGATGCTATGGAAAGTTTCCAAAGACACTTGAGTGTTACAGAGGTAATATTTTACTACTTCATAAATTTTACACTCATTGAGCTCTGTTGGGATTTGCCTAGCTTTTATCAGTTAAAGTTTGTGTGTTCATTGTATTTTTGAAAAATTCTCTGAAATCCCACCTGAGCATTGCTTGATTCCTTAGAGGAAGTCTCACTATTGTTTACATTAGAGGTTACTTCTCTTAGATCAAAGGTTCCTATAACAACAGATTAATCAAGTCACCAGAAAAAAAAGTGAAGATTCATTACTATACCATGTCAACCTTCAAAAGCTGTCATAAAAACATGAAGAGGGCAGATTACAAAAAATCTTCAAATAATGAGAGAGATTTACCGTGCTCATAGTTTCGAGAAAGTAAGTAGCATATGCAATATATGAATTCACTAAATATTTATTGAATTAGTATTAAGATCCTCCAACTCCAATTTGCAAAATTGCTAATTTTTATATTTATCTCTCTCCACATGATAAAATTCCTTAATAGCAAAATTGTGGTTTTTGCATTCTATATCCTCAGAATTTAGTAAATGTTTCATGTATGGTGTCTGCTATAAAATGTTTGTAAGGAAATGTGTAAATATCAAGGTAGTCAAGTAAAGAGAACTCTTAAGATTTTAAAATTCTAAAACCAAGAATTTTAAGAGGAGTCACATTGCCACTCACCACTCAATATTGATAAATATTGAGCTCTCTGATACGATATATATATATATTAGAGAGAAATTCTTTGCTAAGGATTAATTTTGTGTCTAGAAATTGTCTGGGTAACCAACTGCACATAAAGTGTACTGCTGGCAACCTTTAAGTGCTTTGAGAAAGATATGGAAAGGCTTAATGAAGAAAAGAACTTTTTAGAAGCATGACTAGCAGGAGGGATGCTGGTTGATATTTGAACACTGAGAACATTTTCAAGTACGTAGGGTAAACACACTAATAACTTGTAACAAAGTGCTGTAATCATAATATAATACTGCATTTCAAAACCTTCCAAAACTCAGTGGTTTAAAGCAATAATCACTATTTGCATAGTTCTGTGGGGTGGTGTATGTGTATGCATGTAGGGGGAGCTCTGTATTTCTCTCCTGCCTTGGGCAATGGATTAGCTAGAGCACGTTCCTCCCATGAGAAGGTCAAGTTCCAAGAGGACAAGTCTTTCTTAATGGTTAAGATGGAAATGGCCCCATTGACAAAAGCAAATTACAAGGCCAAGACCAAAGTCAAGTGGTGAAGTACCCTCTACTTATGTTACGGCCATGCAAAGGTACAGATGCAGAGAGGAGTAGTGTATCTATGTTAGTCATTCTATCAACCACAGGAACCCACTTGGGGCTGAATCAAACTGATAGAAGAACTCCAATCCATTGCTAACTGGATCTTCTTTTCCTAGGTGGAATTGGTTGTGCCTGTTGCCTTCTCTGGTTTCCTCTAGTTTATGATGATCCTGGAAATCATCCATTTATCAGCACTGGTGAGAAGAGCTACATCTTGTGTTCACTGTCTCAACAGGTATCTTGAGGAACTCCTGCTATTTTTCTATGCCTGCTACGCATCTCAGAGATAAGGAGTACAGTAGAGCAGAACTCTTGTCCTCTGATGGAGGGGATATTGACATGTGTTTTCTTCCAGGACCGTTTGCCAGGCTGGTCTCTTCCCATTAAAGCTATGATCAAATCCCTACCACTCTGGGCCATTGTAGTCTCTTATTTCTGTGAATACTGGCTGTTTTCTACCATAATGGCCTATACACCCACATATATCAGCTCTGTACTTCAAGCCAGCCTCAGAGACGTAAGTGCAAAGAAAGTTCATTCTGCTCTTCTGTTTAAATGCTTCGTTATATAGCAGTCTCTTCTATGGTCACAAAATAAGAGGATTAGGTCCAGGACACCACATAAGGAATGCAATCTGTTTAACTTGGAATCTGATTGATTTCAATATGGTTTACTATGTATTGGAGTAGAATGGTACGATTCTAAGTGTAATATTCACAGAATGTCATATGCAAAAAATTTATATTCAATACAATCAGCATTTTCAAACAAGACCTCTGCTGGCATCATAAACAATAAAGGATTAAAAAACAAATTATGCCTTGGAAAGAACTAGGATAGAAACATAAGTGATATATCCTGAAAACAAGACTGTTGATAGAACATGAAGTCCTAAGTAGAACTTAGGTAAAAAATTTGTGGACAATGATTTTTTTAAAATATTTTGTTCAAGTACAACATATTTAGAGGAAAGTTCATATATGTATACAGTTCTCTGTATTTTCACAGGATGAACAGATGCTATGATTGGCTGACCTTCCAATGCCTGTTAGATAGATGTCATAAAAGTGGTGGACTATATCAGATGCTGTAGCTTTTTAGTGACAGTTTACAAGGCAATTGAATTACTAGTACCACTTCAACCTCAATACTTAAAGAGCAGGCTTCTCATATTGAGGACACTTCTGATGAAAATGTATTAAGTAACCAAAGGAGAGCTTACCTTCTTAGCAGTACATGCAAGCAGGCTGGACACCTTGAGATCAGAAAACTCCAGGAAGGATTGCTCTGTGTTCCCTCAAAGAGGAAGAGAGTTGGAGCAGGCAAAGGAAAGAGAATCAGGGGACAGGAGGGCCAGGCAAGAGGATGCCAGTTGCTGAGCGATATCCATCCTGAGCCTGGCTATGAGGAATGGTTAGCTCTGGGTGGGGGATGAGAGCTGAAGAGGAAGAGGATGGGGGTGGTGGTGAATGGAAAGGTAAATGTGACCAGACAGCACAACTTCCTAGGCTGAGAAGAGAAGAAACCTTTAGTTTCCACTGCTCTCAGGCTATCTTCTTACCAAGTCACATAATCTTGATGATATTGGTTTACCCATGCATAAAATGAACTTCTTGAATCAGGAGAAAACTAAATTCTTTTCATTATTTGGTGATACACAACAAAGGATGGTCACCTATTCCTTGCATTTTCTTTAATAGAATTTTAACTTAGAGGTTGAATTGATAAATAACAAGGTTCAACCTTTTAAAAACTCTAAAACAATTTAAGAACTATATAAAGTTTTGATGTTAAAAGAACTATGTAAAGAATAAACAATATTCTACTTATTCCTGCTTCTAATCTTCCTTGTTCTCCAGGCCCACTCCATTGACAGCTCTTTTTTACATTTCCTATATTTTATTTTGCTGTTTCTTTATGAGAATGCAAGCACACGTGATTGCATATTCTCATTTTTCCCATTTTTTTCTTATCAAAAACATTATAGGCTGTATATGGTACTATTCACTGTATCCTGGGGTTTTGCCACTTAATAGACCTTGAAGAGTATGAAAACTTTACTGAGAAATATTTGAGTTATTTCCAGTCTTTGAGCAATGCTGCAGTAGAAACCTTGCTCATTTGTCATATGTCTGTACAACTATTTCTGTGATGTATATTTCTGCATATGAAGTTGCTGAATATAATGGGTAAATTCACTATAAACTTCCATACTTATTATCAAATTGCTTTCCATAGGTAAAGAATAGTATTTGTGAGCACCTGATTCCCCAAAGTATCATCACAGGACATGTAAAAAAACTTTGATTTTGTCAGTTTGATCCATGAAAATAATATCTGACCATAACATTATTTGTAATTGTTTTATTATGAGTGAGTTGGGATCTTTTTAAAAAGTTTAGGAGTCACTTATATTTTTTTTGTCTAGAAGTTGTTCATGGCCTTTAGCTATTTTTTCACTGGGTTATGGTCTTTTAAATATCTATTTCCAGGTGATTCTTATATAGGGAAAGCATCAGTCCTTTTTAAAAAATGAAGCTATATGCATATTTCTCCAGGCACTAAAATCATATTGGTTCATTCCAATAATATGAAATTTTTATTTAAAATGGTGTGCATATAAAGAAAAGCAATATATGTGGGCTATCTCTCCAGAGATCAGTCTGTGTCATGGTGGAGTGTTGAGGACACATGCATTCGCCTTTTCTCTGATCCTTAGAGTGGGATGTTGTCAGCCCTGCCATTTGTTGTTGGCTGTATCTGCATTATCCTTGGAGGTCTACTGGCAGATTTTCTTCTCTCCAGAAAAATCCTCAGACTCGTCACTATCAGGAAACTTTTCACTGCCATAGGTAATGGCCAAGCTGGACACACGGTAGATGTGGGAAGCTAAGGGAACCTCCTACTTATTCTTTGTCCTTCTGTCCCAGGGGTTCTCTTCTCATCTGGAGTTCTTGTGCCCCTGCCTTGGGTCAGATCCAGCCTCAGTTCCACCATGGTCCTCTTGGTACTGTCTTCTGCCTTCAGCAGCCTCTGTGAATCAGGAGCCATTGTTAACTTCTTGGACATTGCTCCTAGGTAGGGATCCCTTTGGCTCATCCTCATAGAAGTTCAGTTCAGTTTCAATAGCCCTAATCCTGCAAAGATAAAATGTGGCATGTACAACAGAGCACAGGAGATGTTGACATCATCCATCGTCCACTTGATTCCTGAAGGTATCATGAATTGGTCAACCAGAGTGAACTTTGTGTTTTCAGGTGTGAACTTGCACCAGTTGTGGAAACTCACACATCTCTCTCTATTGAGGAATGGAGCCGTTACACCTGGTTGATCATTGAAAAGACTCAGGAGACCCCTAGAGGAGGTCATGAAAAGCTTTCATAAAGGGAAAGCACACAGAATTGCAGGAGAGATATCTTACCCATATCTTTGATAAAAGTTAATAGCGGAGGTGACTGAGACTACCACATATAACTCTCGAGGTCCTGCCATGGTCAACAGGACATATTTCATCAATTCATTCAATGAGGGATCTTTTATATAGAAAGAGGAGAATTTTACATCCCAAAATAGTGCTGTAAGATCAGGCTCAATAGCAGGAACCAAGAAAACATGAAGTGCAAATCTCTAATCTTCATATGTCAATAATATGTGACATGTATAGGCTACCCCTTGGAAGTCTTAGACCCTCACACAGGATTATTTGAATAATTAGACCATTTCATTCAGGCTGAATTAATAAAGGGTGAGCACAATTCCAGGCCTCCCTAGAGATAAGCACAGAATTATAACAAAATAGCAGAGATTAACCCTTTGTTTACATGGGAATGTTTCCTGCCCTTTTCCTCTCTTTCAGGTATGCTGGCTTTCTCAAGGGACTATTGCAAGTCTTTGCACACATAGCTGGAGCTATCTCTCCTACCGCTACTGGATTTTTCATCAGCCAGGTGAGGACAAACGTTCCCATGAATAGTTATAAAAGAAACCTAAAGGGATAACCAGTAGAAGGATATTTTCATTTCTTCTTCAATGTGGCCATACATAAAACTCATAAGTGTTAAGCACCCAACATGCCATCATTCCCAGCTCAGCTCACGTAAGGAAATTATCACACATTTGGGTGTGGAGTGAGGGAGAATGTTCAACGTTATGAGCTTCACCTTTGTGATTTCTTATAAGATAAGCCTCTCATGTTAAAAACCAAATTTTCTAGTATATTCTTGGCATTTCTCCTGAATTAAGAGTGACCAACCATCCTGGTTTGCATGGGACTGAGAGATTTCTCAGGATGTGACACTTTCAGTGTTAAAACCTCAAAAGCCAAATATGGTTGTGTGTGCTTGTAATCAAAAGGATCACAAGTTCAAGGCTAGCCTGGGTTACATAGTGAGTTCAAGGCCAAGCTGAGCTACATAATGAGTTCAAGGCCAACCTGAGCTACGTAGTGAAACCCTATCTTTAAAAACCAAGGGTTGGGGATGTGGCTCAGTGGCAGAGCATTTGTCTAGCATGCCCAAGGCCCTGGGTTCAGTCCCCAGCATCACAAAACAAAATAACATCATCATAAAATCTTGGAAGCTGTGGGCAAACTAGAATGAGTTGGTCACTTTACGTGAGAAGTCGACAAATATTTGTAGAGTGAATGAGCAAGATGCCAAGTGAAAGACAGAATAAAGGAACAACCTGCTTCTCACATGAATGCCCGTGTATGGTCAGTACAGCAACTTTTCTGACCAGTGTTACTTGCATGATGTTTTTTACATTTGTGCAGACTTCCATCCTGGAACATTCATATCAAGTACTCAAAATAAGCTGGACATAGCAACACATGTTGTAATCCCAGCACTTAGGACACTGAGGCAGGAGGATTGTGAGTTTGAGGTCAAACTCAAAAATAGATAAATATATAAAAGTATTCAAAGTAAACAAATACAAGCAAACCTGACAACTTGAGCATTGTCTAAGAATCTTATGACATAGACTTCACATGAAGAAAGATATTGATGACATTCACATTAGTAACTTCTTTAATTTTCCTGCAGTTTTCCATCAGAGTTAGGAAAATGAACAGAGAATAACAAAGAAAGGGTATTCCTTATGAAATCAAGTCCCTTCTTGTTTCTGAAGCTTTGATTCCCTTTTAGCCCCTATTTAAGGTACTGTCAGGAAATGTTTGCTTAAAATGGAAATTCTCAACCTTTGTTTCTTCTGCCATTCATTGACTAACCAAATTCATTTAATGAGTATGAATTGAATATTAGCATGTACAATACATTGTTTAAGTGAATATACAAATATATGTTTCCCCTGTGAGACCTATATTAAAAGAAAGAAACAGAAAATTAAAGCTAAGTGCTTTATATATTGAATATTGGTAAGCACTAAAAGAATAGAATAGGACATATAAGAAGCAGTAGAATTTCAATTTAATAGGGTGGTCAAAAAAACTCCCTGAAAGGTAACATTTAAGCAAGGACTGGAAGAAGGTAAGAGAGTGAGCCAAATGGGAGCCTAAGAAGAGGAACATTTCCAGCCAGTACACTGGACTTGGTAGAAATGTTCTTGCATATTCCAGAAACCACTAAAAAGTCCCCTAGCCAGGGATGAGTTATGGGAGGGAACAGCAGAATATGGAATCACAGCCTTTCTGAACCAGCAGGGATAAGAGCTAGCCAAGCATTACTAACTGGTGGTTTCCTGCCTCCAGGATTCAGAGTTTGGTTGGAGAAATGTCTTCTTGGTTGCAGCTGCTGTTAACATATCAGGCCTGATCATCTACCTCATCTTTGGCCGAGCAGAAGTACAGGACTGGGCTAACGAACAGGCATTCACTTACTTCTGAGCAAACTGAGTGATGTGTGAGATCCCGTTGCTTAGGTGTTCATTGCTTTCCCTCACAGACCTTCCCCATTTGTGCTTGCTTGACTGATTAGCCAGTTAATTGGAATTGGCTGTTTTTCCATCGTCTTCTTAGATGCCTCAGTAATATAGTAAGATTTTACCATGCCAAGAGATTTTGCAAGGGGAAAAAAGGCTACCTATAACTGTGATCGCCTTTCTCTCAGGTTTGTCTAAATTTCTACCCATCCTCTATTTCTCCTCCTTCTACCTTTTTTATAAAAATCATATAAGCCATAATGGCAAGAGTGAGAACTGAGGACCACAAGGGGAGTGGTACCAAAACATACAGAAGATGAACCCTGAATGCCATCATGAAAAGAAAGCCCAAACATGGAAAGTACAGTGTCTATAATCTGAAGTCCTGGGCCAGGAGGCCAGAGCAGATGAAGTTGCTGTCATGTCAAGGGAACAAGATTAAAGGGCCATTCTGAGGCTTGGTGTAGGTAGGATACCTAATTGAAAAACAACAAAGAAAAGATAATGATAAACATGAATCCATCATGACAAGAGGAATGGACCTTCTTCCAACTAATGTAAGCAGGGTAGTAGAATTCTACTATTCTAGACAAATTTCTAGATGGATACTGGCTTTGAATCAGAGCCACCTTTGTAATACCTGCACCACTCAGGCATTCTCTGGAGTCAGATCTTTCACAACTACCTTCTTTCTGATCATCTTGTCCTCAGTCCTATATCTGGTTTGTGGATCCCTTGTGTCTTAGTGAAGGAGCATTGTCCAATATTTTTCCTATCGGCTTAAATATTTATTCATGATATCAGTCCTATGTCCAATGCCCTTATTATTTCTGTGACCATTGGGAATCCACCCACTGTTTAGTGGGCCTCATTCAATGTTCACTTCACTAACCTAAATGTCTTCCAATAATGTACACAAGACCCATTCTGGCATGAGCTCATTCCAAATGTCCAGACAGTATGCATGGTGTGTCTTCTTTCATTAAGCCCCCATGTGGACAGTGCAGAGGCCATGAAAGTGAACAAAAACATTTAAACACTAAATAAGTACTAATGAACACATTAACATTTATGGGGGTGAGGCAGAAGTGAAAACCATACAGAGCTTGAAGGAGTTCAATATCTCAGCTTCTTGAGATGACTTTAATCAAAGTATCACACAAATGAATATGTAGTGACAACTGTGGGAAAGGAAATAACAAGGGGTACACCACACTAGAAAAGTGAATTATAAGTTCGTGTGAACTAATTTGAGGGAGGGAGGGTTACGACTAAAAAGTTTTGACTGAGCTAGCATCTGAAGTACAGTAGTTAACTGGTGCTGGAGGTTGACGGAGAGAAAGCTACAGGCAGAAGGTACAACATGTGGAAAGATGTGGTGTTAGAAGAGAACAATCAGGGATTTTCAGAATCAGAGAAGCATGGGCTGTGAGGAGGCTGTAGAAGTATTAAGATAAAAAACACAGGGCAATGTAGGTCCAATGAAGGATACTGGTATTTATCTTGAAATCACTTGAAATATTTTAGTGGGAAGAGACACAATCAGGTTTCTATTTTTTAAAGGTTACATTACATGTGGGAAGGAGTTGCAATAAGAGTTCCTAGTACAGTCCAGTAATAGCCCCTGGCATGAAGGAGTAGATCTGGTGAGAGGTAAACAGATTATTTGCTTTAGGAGGTAAGCCCGACAAGATTTTAACACTGCATAAGAGAATAGAGATGTACAGAGCAACACCTGGGATTCTGATTTGCTACTCAATCAATGGGGATAGGGGATACCCTTAACAACGATGCCAATCACATCGAATGAAGATCACAAGATGGAGACTGGACAAACAGGTGTGGATTATATTTGTGGGATTTGGACTCCAGATGTAAATTTGGGAATCAATTTGATGTAGGTAGTGATTAAGATTTATAGCATGGATCAGATTGCCTAGGAGGACACTATAGCATAAAAGGGAAAGCCTACAAGAATGCTAATGTTTAATGGTTGGCTGGAGGGTGATTAGAGAAGGAAGGAAGGAAGGAAGGAAGGAAGGAAGGAAGGAAGGAAAACCAAGAAAGAGAAGGAAAGAGAGAATGTTTCAAAAAATCAAATAATCACTATGATGTTAAATCGTCAGAGATCTGGCCAGATGAAGAGAAAGCAGAATGAGAAGAAAGCAGTCCACTACTGAGAAGTCTGGGTGCAAAGGAAGGAAAGAGACAAAAAAAGAGCTGCAGAAGGGTACAGGATCAAGAAGAGTTTAAACAAACATATTTAAAATCTGTGAGAAAGAACTAGTTGAGAGAGATAAGATGCATATGCTAGTTAAGAGAGAATAAAATTAAAATATGAATGGAAAGTTCCTGAGAAAGTTGGAGGGAGGAACACTGTTACCTAAAGCCCAACTAGGAGGATCATGAGAAACAGAGTGAAGATAGCTCCTGCCTTTTGACCAAGAAACAGTCCAAGATCATGTTCATGGATGCTAGGAGAGATCCAAGGAGAGTTTTATTTCATATAACCTTCCTCCTTCTTAGAAGTGTGGCTGGGCACTGGCAGTATGTAGGGTAAGACAAAGGTCTGTAGTGTTCTTATCAGATAAGGGGAGAGTGATCTGGCAGAGATGCCCTGCAAGTTGCCAGGTAAAGTTCTTGCTTCCCACAGAGTACCTTGAATAACTCACACTGCTTCATTTGTGAAAGTTTCCTCTACCCAACTTGAACGTAAACTCATAAAGTTCGGGAACCATGACACATACATTATTTGGTAACATTATAAACACAAGCATGGTATCATACACACAGTAATTGCCAAAAAATGGTTTTTGAATCACTGTATGAATCAATGAGTGGAACAGTTCTGGGGTGATATGAGAAAAAAAAATGTATGAGAAAAAGGACCCTATTTCTACTTAAATTCTTTTTCTATTTTTCCAACTTTTTATATCCTCTGTTTTCAAAGCATAGACTCATCTAAAACTATGGATTCTTTTGCTTACTTCATCTGTTGTTCAGACATCAAGAGGTTAGTCTGCTCCATTTCATTTCTCTGGCAATTACAGAACTGACCCAAGGTTTTGTCAGTAGCAATTAAGGTATTGCGCACTAGGGCACAGGGTCTCTTGCTTATTTCAGTTACTTCACATTTTCATCTCCTTTCCTTCCCTGAACCCCCTTTAGATTTTCTAATTGGTCACCTTTTGATGTTTTGAAAACAAGTTTTATTTCTGTCTGAGCCCACCAAAAAGGGAGCCAGCTTTATACATTTTTCTCCAAAATGGGCCACCTGAAAGTATAGAAATTATCTAAAATTTTTTTCCACTGACCCACACATCTACAATAAGGAGAAATAAAGACGAAAATTGTGAAAAAAAGTCACAAAGTCTTGTTTATTGGGTTATTTAACAATCATTCATAAGGCAACATACAGAGAGGAAGACAGGCATAAATAAATCCACCTTTAAAATTCAGACATGTAACTTACAATAAAACAATACATGTTCCAAAACAGAGCACATAGAGTGAGAGTGAATGTATTGACACTGGCCCCTAGGGATCCAATTGCCACCTTCTTCCTGATGTGGTTCCCTCTTCCTTTCAATAGGGAGGTTGGCCTCAGGTTCTTCACCTGTTCAGTTTTGCACTAAATTTTGTAGAGAAAGACAAAAAGTACATTCAATATCATTGGTGAGTCCTTGTAACTAGAGGACATAAGAATGAATGATTTAGATTAGTATATTTTTCTCAAGTCATCTTCCTTGCCCAGCAGTAAGTTATCCTAGGCATTTTTTTACACTTCTCTTCTACTAATGTAACAACAAATATTACTATCTGGTACAAGTTTGTCAGCCTTCCTTTTCCATATTCTCAAAAGTCTACACATAAAAGGTCTGAACAATTAATTCCAACATGTTGCTAGGTTCAGGCACATGGTAGGAAACTATTCATACTTTGTATATATGCTGTATCTTGTAAACAGAGTGAACAACAACCAAAACCTATATACCTGTGGAGTTTGGCACTTTGGTAGTTTGATATTGCTGCTCTCCCAAATAAGAATAAATTTTATTCCTAGCAATAACAGGCACATGTTTTGTACTGTTACCAAATTCCCAAGGCTTGTAAACTATTTTGTTAGTAAGAAAATGAAAATAAGACTTCCACTTGTGGTCTTGCACCAAGGACACACTCAGGGCCTGCACAGAAGCATTGCTTGTCCTTTCTAAGAACAGTTGCTCTAACCTGTGGTAACTGGGACAGTAGTGCTCTCTGGCAAACCAGACTAAGATAGGCAGGTATCCAGATTAGCTCCCCTTATGTTATATTTCTTCTCCAAACCCTTAAAAGGGATGTGGTCATAATGCCAAAACAGAATGTCAACACTCAGTCCAACCTGGTTAACATTGAGGAAGACACACACTACCCTTCTTTTGTATTAAAATATTCAGTCTTTTTTTAGTATTTGAAATTTTACATGTCAATCATATAGACAGAGATTTTCTGGGTTTCTCCATGGAAACAGCTATTTACATTGCCTAATAACTATCCAGAAGCACCTGAGAAGTGTTTCTATATGTTAGCTGGATATAGCATTCCTTAAGTGTAGGTGATCATCAAGCATTATATCCAAGAGGGGAAAATACTACCCAACAAGTATTTGATCAGTTGCTAAAGAAAATTAGATATCTCTCACCAAAATTGTCACACAGTCCATCTTAAGAAAAGTATCTTCTCTTTTGGGGTTCTATCTATATATGAAAAATCCTTTATATGATGAATAATTTTATAACAGGATATACAGTGATGTTACACTGAAGACTTTGGTACAGGTGGTAAGATACAATGGATCTAAGATTCCAAAATGAATTGTAAGGATAACCTTAGAGATATTGTTCAGAATGTGACCAAGAACAAGTCATATGGCTCTAAAACACTTTAGGAAAAGTGAGTCCTTAAGAGAGTGGAGATGGAGAAAGG